AGAAAAATGCAGGTCTGCATGCAGAAAAATATATTTAAAATATTATTATATATACTAATTTATATTCAGTTCTAACTAAGAGTTAAATGAAGCAACATATTTATCCCATCTAATGCTATTCCCACAATAGAATATTTGGAATAATATTTTAAATATATTTTTCTGCATGCAGACCTGCATTTTTCTGCATTTAATCCAATCCTCTAGTATAATTTTCACTATTTGCTTTCAGTGTAGAACAGACAGATGATTCTTTTTTTTCTCTGGGCGAATATTTGTTTAAGATTTTGGGTTTTTGTTAAAACAATAAAATACTTAAGTAGGAATGGTATTTATATTATATCCCTTCAAGGATGGATACAGTGAAATTTTTATATCATTTGTGGTCCAAGAGTCTTTAAAAGTTAAGGAATGTGTTAAGGATACATGTGCATTAGGATACCTATTTTATTTTATTTTTAGTTAAAATCAATAACAATTGTACCAATACTGCTCAGAAGATTGGCACCCTTGAAACTTTATGCAACATCTGGTCTATGGGTTATATTTTATCTGTCCTTGTTATATCACTTCGGTTCTGAAAAATTTATCTGTCTTTCTGGTTATCCCTCTGATTTTATCATATTAAGTTCCCTCTTATTTCTGAAAAGCTGATATAGCATCCAAAGAGGTTATTCCATTTAAGAATCAAAGTGACCTCAGCAGAAATTTTTGTCCATTAACATGGCATTCTATCCATGAAGCCATACTAAAAATATGTAAATTCTTTCTTTCTTTCAAATATATTCAGTATAGTATTCGATAAGAATATTTTGTAAAGTTACAGCACTTAATCATAATTAGAGGTTGGTTTACCTTGAAGAATTTTCCTAAGGACTGAAACTTAGTTTAGAGTTCCAGAAAATCTGAACTAATGCCAAGGTTACCTTTCACATATTCATTTCATTTTCTTTATATAAATGAATTATTTCTAGCAATTAATTACATCAGGAGGTAATTTGGAACCATAATAATAATTTGGAACTCATAATAATTATTTCTTGGTGTACTCATAAGGTGAATTAATGTAATATAGACCTTGGACAGTAGTGTTGTTTAAATAAGAATTTTGGGTAAAGAGTTGAGAAATTTATCAAGAGGTAATTGCAAGGCCATCTAACTTTTGAGACCCCACTATAATATCATTAAGTCTAATTCATTATTTTAATTAGAGTTTAAAATGGCTTTGCTGCGTGAGTGATTTTATCTTAAGATTAAAGCAATGGATACTATGATTCATGCCAAAATGAAAAAATAAAATAAGATCTAAAGAGATGGCCAAAGTTTCTAAAATGTTTATAATTTGAGCCCTAGCATGTCACATATTCTTTTATAAAATTGCACAAGATTTCAGTCATTTATAATTTTAATTGGAAATTTGATTTTGTCCATTCATAGACACATCCAGAAAAATTGCAAATAACTTATATGCCTATCCTACTCTTAACTAGCTTGCTAAGTTCTGGGGAACTTTTTTTTTACAAAAGAAAAGCATATTGTACACATGAAATACACTGTCGGCTTTTGTTAATTTTTGGTTTACAAATCACAATTAAAAAAAATACTTCATACCAACATCTAGATATATGATCAAATATCATAATGGATGGAGACTTACATAATTTGCAGCACGAAGTTGTGGAAGATTGGTACTGAACATACATTATAGCTGAAGTCAGTCTTAAATTCATTTCTCCAATGTTACTGGGCATATTTACAGTATATTCAAATAACTCATTTTTAACACTGCTATAAAGTAGAAAAACAATAATGATCTTCTTATATGATTTTCCTTTTCTTATGTGTGCACTCAATCTTTCAAGCTACAGATTCATTAATATATTTCTTATCCTGGATGAATAAATAAAAATTGTGATATTGACTTACTCATTCTTGTTTTCCCTATGGTTCAAGAGCCACTCCACAAAGTTCTTCTTTAGCATGTTGTCCAAAGTTTGACTATAATCACTTGCTAAAGTTCCCTCAGAATATCGCCTTTGCAGAAACGTGGAGTCTCTTAGATTTTCCCTAAGAATATAGAAGAAAAGACATGGGTCAAGTTTACATATTGTGTCAAGATATGTTCTGTAAAACTATGGTTTCTTGAACAAATGCTATTTGATTGGGTTTGCCCTGCATGATAAGCTAAAACTAGCCCTGTATGTTGAGCACAGTGACTGACCCTAATCAAATATGTACTTGCATGTATGTGAGAAATCAATTCCTCTTTTCCATTTAGGGAGATAAGTCTTCTAACAATTTATTGATTCAACATAGTTTGTCATAATAGGAATGCATGCAGGGGAAGTACCAAAAGAGAAAACCATTCAAAAAACTTCAAATGATTATTTGGAAAACCATCTCAGTTCAGCTTTAAAATCTGAGACCTAGAAATGTTAAGAGTTGGCGTACAAGTTTAATTAATAATAAATAATTATGATGATGATAACTTTTTAATTTAATATCATTTAAGTCAATATTTCAATGTGACAAGAAACAATCTGCAGATTTCCTATAGTCTTAAACAAAATTCTGTATTCCAAAAGGCAGAGAAATTGGAAAGAGTGTGGAGAAGATCAACAAAGATAATTACGGGACTTGAGACTAAAACATAAAGAATAGTTTCAGGAACTGGCTATGTCTAGTCTAATGAAAAGAAGGACTAAGGGTGAAGTGATAGCAGGATTCCAATATATAAGGGGTATCAGGAAAAAGAGAGGGTCAATCTATTTTCCAAAGCTGGGATCCCCCCCTCCCCCTCCCCCAGTACCAATCCATGGCCTGATAGAACCTAGGCTGTATAAATTAGTGAAGCTTAATCTGTACATGCATGGGATCCGGGTAGCATGTAAGACTATCCTCCCCGGTCTGTGGAAAAAATTTCCACAAAACTGGTCCCTAATACCAAAAAATTTGGGGACTGCTGTTCCAAAGCACCTGAAGAAGTAACACATGGAAATTAATCAAGGGGAGAACCAATCTAGAACCAAAGGGAAATTTTATGACAGAACAATTAATCAGTGGAACACCGATTAATCTTCAGAAGTTGAAGGTGCTTCTTCACTGGAGGTTTTAAGAAGAGATTTGTCTGAAATGTTATAGGAGCAACTTTCAACTTCTGGGCAGATGATGGAGGGACCAATCTACCAAGCCTCTGGAGAGCTAGGACAGGACCACTCTAGTGAAACTTCAGTTAGCAGAGCGACAGCACTGAAGTGGCCCCCATTTTGGCAAATTTCTATCCCACAGGGATCATGAGTACAAATTTTGGATGCATTCTATGCATTATCCCCCTTTGGCTGAAAAATTGTTGCCCTTTGGTGCACCATTTTGCCCAATTGAAGATTACAGACTGAGAGTTTTATAGATACAGATGAAGCTGTTATATCTTTAAATGCCCTGATTAAATATGTTGGGTGAACATAGCCATTTGTAAACATATTTTACACATGTAATATAGAAATATATTTGAGTAACCATGAGGAGCATTACTAGATGGGTAGAAAAGTGAAATCGAGTTTGATTGTTCAATATTGACACAGAGGTAATTTACTAATGCAATTGGCAAAAAAAAATGAATATCAAAGCATCCCTATTTGTGTATTTACCTGGTGCCATTTTCTTCCATCAGCACAAAACCCAGAGAGATCAGAAGGAGAGAGACAACTTTGAAAGCTACCATGTTCACAACTGGAGTTCTGCCATTTAAAAGCAAAGGAAACAGAGAAAGAAATTCTTGTGAACCAGAGCTTGAAAGGAATTTCTTCTATTATGAATCTTCCAAAATACAATTTTCAGAAATTGTGTACAGAATTATAACGCAACCTTATGTGGAGAATATACATTTGCATCTAAAGTCAGCAGAATGAAGCAGGTGCCACAGATTCTAGGATCATTTTTTCTTGAATTCCTAACTGTACTCCTAACCAGCCTTCTGTAATCTAGTGCCTTCCAGCTGTGCTAATTTTAACTTCTATAAATCTCAGCCAACTGAGAATTTGGCAGCTGAAGTCCACCCTATCCAGTGATGAATTTCAGATGAAATAAAAGACTACTCCCTTGCCCACATTAAAAATAAGATTCCAGTAGAAATAGTATTGTCTTCTGTGTGTAGAATGGAGAGGTAGATTGACTGTTGCCTTGAGGCTTAGAATTGTCCTCATCAGTACTTACAGCCAAACATATTTATCAGCAGTTTATCATCTTTCTACATGGCGAGCTACTGTATATTCCTACAGACACCACCATATAGCACTTATGTGATGCTCTTCTGCTTCATAAGGGCATAGATTTGGTTTGGGGGGGAGGAAATATCAAACTGCATTCTGTGGATGTAGAAACTGCTCACATCAGTATTGTATCAAAACTTCAACACTTTTGTAAAGCATTTTCTCAAACATTTGGGAGGAAAACATTTTCCAACAAAGGAAAAAGTAGTAAAATTGTGGGATATAGTATTGTTCCATGTACATTAGTCATGAGATGACTGTGGGCTGTTGTTTCTCATGGGTAATCATTCTATTAGGGATGATTATTTTGTTTGTTTTAAATGAGAACAAACCAGCCCTCTGACCTTTAGAACCCATCTGCTTATTCTACTGAATGATACTAAGGGCCACAAAACTAAATTCCTTTATAAGGACATCATTACCTACCATAGGATATATTTACTCTGTGGAAAGATTGTTTAACTCCTGCCAGGCTGAGAAATTCTGCTGCACGAATTTTGTTCAGTCAAATGTTAATTCAATTTAAGGAAAGAAAATTGGTTTAGATTTTTTAAAAAATTGAATGTCATGGAGACACTATCTTGGGGAAGGAAGATTAGAAGAGGAGCAATATCAATCTGGATAACAATTAAGTAGCCCATCTACATCACACTCATCATCACTGCCATTTCTTTATTTCAAATCGCTTTCTTCCCTTTTCCAAAGGGTCATTGAGCAACAGCATTATTTCTTAGTGTAGAATCTGATCCCCTGACAGATGAATGAAATCTGAGAGCCTACCTGGTCAAGCTGCTTTTCATGAGAGGATCTGGCATCCAGCAACAAGGATTCCTTATATACCCAAGGGCATGACAAGGCAAACCATTTCCTTAGGAACAACACAGGAAGCTCTGCACCTAATCAAACTAAATTAAAAGCAATTTAGGCTAGCTACTTTTAGGTTCACTGACCTTTGGAGCATGAAAATGCCCTTTTAAATTATGTTTGTATTCCTGGCAATTAAACTTGTGCTGTGTTGCTAAAATGAAGATCCGGTGCATTTTCTATAATTAAAGCCATTAAGCATCCAGATTTCCCCAGAACCACTCCTCAGTTAATTAACAGAACCTAAGGGACCATGCTACTGTACTTTGTCCTGGCTGAGACAATCCTGCATTTGGGTTGCTTTGCTTCTTTGATTTTAGTCGGTTATCTTTCCAGCTGACAAAATGACGGATGGTTTAGTCATTGATCCAGTAGCAGGGAATACAAGTAGGTACCTAGCAGTCTATTGGAACCATATTTTTTAATATTTGTTATGGATACATACAAAGCTGGAAAACTGATTGTGACAATTCTTCCCATTTTATTTTATAGAAAATAAAATAAAGTAGTTTCACAGAAAATAATACGCCTATGTTTTATATTATTTTTTTATCAATCAAATGACTCCCTCTCCCTTATTTTTAAATGCTAAATTTTGCTTTACATTTGCATTCCTTGCTTCCTCATGTAAATAGAGAACAGCAAAGAGACGGAAGGAAGAGAAGAAGAGGCAGTGGAAGGTGTATTTCAACAGGGAAGGTTAGCAGTAGCACAGGTATTATATTTTCATGTTTGCAAGTTTCTGTCAATGTAGCTTTACAATAATGTTGAATTAGCTCACCCACTTATTATTGCTATCTGGTGTACTCCACGAGGCCAATATCAATTTTGCAAATATAGTATCAATTTCACCTGTCTCTTTTATAGCCTGAGAAATTGGGAGATGGTCTCTTCTGGACATCCACTATCTAACTATGCACTATGCTGTTTCTTATTTGACTGTTTACTCTGTAGTACCTCCCAAGTCTTTGTCACATAAGTGGTAAACCATCCCATTCTCACCAAAAAGATTATCCACGGAGACAGCAGAAATGGGCATTTAACACATGGCAGTTTTGAAATTATTTTGTAATGGCTTTACTGTAGCTTTGGGATTCTGGGACATTTACCAAGAGAAGTCTGACAATAGCATCTGACAATAAAAGGTTAACCCCCTCTTAAACAGAGGATTATTTTTTAAAAAGAGCCATTCTCTTTAATGTTCCTTGTTATTCTGTACAGAAAAGATAGATTGTCACCTGGTGCAGGAAAAAGTGTGGATTTGGAATAATATTGGATCGATGCCACATATAAAACAGTCCAAACAGCCAATCTAAGCATTATAAGCAGAATTGGTAATCAATTACCAATGGAAGCTATTTAAGTTTGAAAACTATTTAGCTGAATGATTTTATAACCTGTGTGTTCCAGGCCTTGCGCTCCAAGGCAAACTAGATATCATATCACGTTTCCACAAAGTACTACTTGCACAATTGTTTCTCCTTCATTAAGTGCTTCTATGAAATGGAGAGTAAATAGCATGGAATAAATATCTTGTAATATCACAGACCTGCTGTTAGAAGCAATTGCTTCCCCTTACTTCCTATCAGCCTGTTAGAGCAGCAGGAGGAATTTACTTTGGGAAAGGCAACACTGCTCTGAAAACATCTTATCACACATTTTATATATAGTACTTGGAAGAAGAACCATCATTCTGGCAACTGTGAAATGTTTGGTTTTCGCACCATTTTATAGTCATTGCTGTTTCCTTCTAATTGTGCCTTTGGTGGAGCAAAATGTTGAACAAGTTGATTACCCTTAAAATGATTTATTTGCTTGGGAAGAGGGGGAAAAGCTATACCCATAATCTTCACTTTCCAAGTGCATCTTTTAACAATGATTCATACATAAAAAAGTAGATTTAGGTCTGGTCCTCAGACTTACAGTCATCTCAGTGTGATTGTGGGATCACAGTTCAGGCACTTGGAACCAGCACACATTTATGGCAGTTTCAGTGTCCTTGGTCACATAGTTTCCATTTGTGACCTTCTTACAAATGAGAAGCAAACTCCTTAGGAAAACTGGCGATAGGTTGTAAGTTGTGGTCATGTTATGTCATCCTTAATGGCAGTGGATGATAATGGCACTTAATGATTGCAGTGAAATAGATGTCATAAGTTTGATGCAGTGTGATGTTTCATTTAATGACTACTTTGCTTAATAACAAAGTTGCCAGTCCCAGTCATGATAATTAAATGAGAACTATCCATACTTTTACTGAGTCAAGGATACTTCAAACCCTGCTGTTGCAGACCTTCATGGCAATACCTTGGGTTGATTCCACAGTCAGTGACAATATCATGGGACAATATATACTTATGAATACATCCTTAGTGATCTGGGAGTTCATATATCTCCATAAATACAATACCTTTTGAACAGAACTGGTTTCTCCATTAAAGCTAGAATAATTGTGAATAAAGGTTAGAAACCTTATTGTGAATAAGATTAGAAAGCTGACTTTGCAAATAGAATTCATCATGATTAAAAAACCTTAGCCCTATTTTTAGTTGTTGTGATGCGTGTTTTTTTTCCCCTTGAATGTCAAAATAGAATATACAAAATCTTACCTCATCCCATTTCTGATCCAGAATGTAGGATGAAATTGTGTGACTGCATGAGTTATTATGCAAGGTGGAATCAAATTATGGCTATTCTTACATGAATTCAATTTATAATCTAGGAAGCAGGTAGAATGAGACATGTAGCTACCTCATGGATAACAAATGGCCTCTTTCACAAAATTAATACAAATTAAAATGTGTTCAACATTTGCAACTCGAGCTCCTTTTTCCTAAAATACCTTTTAAGTACTGCTTCTCTCTGATATTAAATCTTTCTGATTCATTTAATTGATTCTTCTTCAGGCAATCAGATTAATTCAGTATTGAGTTTTCATTTCCTTCCCGCCCTCTCTCCCTCCCTCCCAAAATTGCAATCTGCAGAATGTTAACCTCCAATGCCACCAGAGGGGGCCAGTTGGTCATTTTCAATCTAATATTCTTATTTCAGGGTGAGATGGGGCAGGTAGAGTTTCAGCTTCTCTGAGTCCATTAAGCCTGTGGAGTACTTTCTGCTCTCGGCCATTCTCCACAGGACCCTGCCTCCCTCCTTTGCCTTTTGTATAGCTAGAAATACCAAAGGGACAACATGCTGAATTAGAAAGACCACACTCTGCTGAATGAATTAAGGCAAGGAAAACACCATAAACTTGCCTTACATTTTGAAGAATATGACATGATACACTTATTGTGCAGTAGAAAAAGACATTATTACAACTCCCCTCATTGCATTTATTTATTTATTTTAGTTTGTCATTTATTTATTTAGTTTCTCAATGTATGAGAAAACAGATACAAGTATAAATATAACATATGAACATATAAGTATAAACAGATATAAATATATACATAATAAATGAGTATGAATAAATGGGAACAGTAGAACAGGACGGTAGGCACGCTGGTGCACTTGTGCACGCCCCCCCTTACAGACTTCTTAGGAATCATGGTGAGACAGTTTAAGGTTAAAGTTTTGGGGATTTGAGGATGTAACAATAGCGTCAGGCAATGAGTTCCAAGCGTTGATCACTCTGTTGCTGAAGTCGTATTTTCTGCAATCGAGTTTGGAGCAGTTTACTTTGAGTTTGTATCTATTGTTTGCCCGTATGTTATTGTGGCTGAAGCTGAAGTAGTCATTGAGAGGTAGGACGTTGTAGCAGATAATTTTGTGTATTAAGCTTAGATCAGAACGTAGGTGGCGTAGTTCTAAGTTGTCTAGGTCCAAAATTTCAAGCCTGGAGGCATAAGGCATTCTATTGCGAGCTGAGGAGTGGAGTACTCTTCTCGTGAAATACCTCTGGACTTGTTCAATTGTATTAATGTCCATTATCCATGCAGATGAGCTGTATTCAAGAATTGGTCGGGCGAAGGTTTTGTATGCCCTGGTTTTCAGTTGAATGTTCATTTGTACTAATTCTTTGCACATCTTGCAAAATTCTTCTTTCTCTTCCAGTGTGAGAAACAATATATTTCTGAAGTCCAAGATGGCAGATATCCAAGAATATAGGGTTACTGTTTGTAGCATTGTCTACAGGGAGTAAGAAATGTTATTATTACACATGTTAAGCAGTGTAAGTATAAATTACTTTCTTTTGGTTTTTTTGCTCACTCACAAACAGAGAGAGAGCTGTTTGGTTGTTTTTAACCTGACGTAGCCAATTACATTATATTTTAGTCCAGGAGTTAGGGGTGTGATGACTGGCCTGCTCAGCTCTTTTGTATCAGAAAATAATGTATTTATTTGTTTATATATACTTTAAAGACAGAAAAATTAGAAGAAGAAAAAACTGAGAAATTTGTTTCTGCTTTCTATCAGCTGTATTATTTTCCTCTCAAAAGGAGCATTTAGAGAGAAAAAAACATGTAAGGAGGAATTACTCCTTAATAAGTGGTGCCAGTGGTGAAAATTATGACAGAAAGAAGAAATGCAAAATATAAAGCTTCAATTTATAAAGTAATAGAGAAATTTCTGAGGTTAAAATCTGTTTTTTATGACACACATCCTCCTCCACATTGAAGTGCAAATTAAATTTACTAAAAACATTTTAAAACAATTACCATAAAAATAACTTATGGTTAACAAAAGTAATGATGTGCTGAAACATAATATTATAGTATGTTCCTTAGCAATACTCAGCCTATCCAGCCAAGTGTTCCTTCATCAAGTTGTACTACTGACCCAACCAGTGTTGCTTTTTGTTTTGAAATGTGTTATCATTCTGTGATCATTGTACATAATTTTTTCTCATTGGACTACTTTTAATCGCTTCTTCTCCTCATGTATTAATTGGTCAGTAGATTTATTAAAATCAAAAGCAGTTTCTTGAATCTCTGTT